TGATATTTCTAACCAGCTAACCCCACAAATCAGAAAGCCCAACAGGCCTGCAATCAGAGTGCCTGCAAGCAGCCGGCACACTTTTACAAGCTCTGGCCCCTCGTTCACATGGATGGCACTGTGACAGCCTGTTTGAAAGCCACGCTCAAATAACAAACCACCCTGAATCCCTGGGAAACAGAACTCTGGTGACAACACTTTGCCTCCTGGGAAGATCTCCTGATTTTCTGGGGGGCGCCCACCGTTAAGGGTGAGTGGTAACTAGCAACGGGAGAGCAGCAGGGAGAAACAGAAGCCCAGGAGATGAGGCCACCGACTCACACCCCAAAGGCCACAGAAGCGGGGCTGGAGGCTGAGGGAGGCAGCTCTGCGAGGCAGGTTGTGTGCACTGGCTCCTGAGGAATCAGCCAGCCCTGTGCCCTTCCGCAGCCTTCAAGGGCTGTGAGGGGATCTGGGAGGGCCAGCAAGTAAAAACCTAATTTAGAATTGCAGAGAGGTTCAGAAAAAGAAATCTCAACACGCATATTTTGTAGGTCTACATACTCACAAAATATCCACCATGGCTTCAGCCTCCTATACTTCAAAAGATGCTGTCCTCTCCAGTTCTTGGTGTTTCCTAGGGTCCCAGAATAGAGGAGGAATTGAGGAAGGAAGGAGCATTCTGAAGCACCTCCTGAGTATTGCACTGTAACAATAGTGTGAATTGTAATCATTGAGCCTCACGATATGCTGAGGGTGGGTATTATCCCACTTGTTACACCCAGGGAAACTGAGGCTCAGAAGGGTGACATCACTTGCCCAAGGGCTAATGGCTAGTAACTATCTACTGACTAGTAAGGTGTTTCTCTACCCCTGCTTCCTCACCTGTGAAGTGGAAATGAACCCTCTACTCCGAAGAGGGTTGAAGGAGATGATGGATGTAGAGCCCAGCTCCTGGCTGAGCACGCAGGGCACCAGATGACAAATGAATCCTATAGCAGCCCGATGGGCCAAGAGGGAGGACTGGGCAAGCAAGGCTCTTCCTGGTGCCCACTTTTCAAGTCCACAAAACAGGGAGCGGGTGGACAGAGCTATCAGTGAGGCATGGCAAGGACCTGGGCTCTGCAGTCAGTCATCTGGTTTGGTCCTTGCCTCATGAGACCACAGGTTACCTTAGTTACTTACCCTTTCTAAGCCTCATTTCCTCAACTTCAAATAGGGATGACAGGAAGGACGTGCCTTGCAGGGTGGTGTGAGGTCAGATCTCGGGCCCCCTGAAGCTCTGGACGTGCCTTCCAAGTTCTCTTTTTTTTAAAAATCAGAGCAATTTATTCAGGATTGTCATAATCAGTAAATGAATATATACTGTCTCAGCAAATATTGTTTTCCTGCTTCACCAATTCTCCTTCAGAGCAATCCCTCTATTCCTTTACCATGTTTGAAAACGTTTTGCATTTGATGTTTTTATTGACTCCATGTTGACTCTTCACCCCCTATTAACCTGGTTTGTGCCCCTCCCAGTCTAATGAAAGAGCTCTTACGAAGTTCTCTAATCATCTCTTAATTACCAATCTTCACGGCTTGTTTCTCTCCATTCACTTTCTAATTCCCAGCATCTCCTGTTGCTTTTCACCTTTGCCAGTGGTTTGGAAAAGTCACCCCTTTTGGCAAGAGTCAAGACTAATACGAAGGGACCCCTCTGCACATCTCTTTTTAAGGCCCCTACTTGGTTCTCTAGAGAAGAAGCTGAAATTTTCTTCTGTGACCCTTAAAGGACTCCACACTATTTCCTCCAGGGGATTGTCACTGTAACATTTGAGCATCCAAAGATCCCATTTGGAACGGAAAGTGGGCCAAATATCACTAAAATCCAACCACTCTGAGGAGACCAAGGATCTTGCAGTTTTAACAATTGTGTTCTGTGAGAAACTATCATCTTCCAGGCTCCACACACACACACACACACACACACACACACTTTCTCTCTCTCTCTCTCTCTCTCTCTCTCAAGGTTCAGC